ACCTTTTAATTTAAGATTTAAAATTTTGAGTGTGGTTTCAGGGTGGTGATGCTTTATTACTTAGTTACAGTACTTATTACTGATGATATAACAGACTATAACTTTCAGAAGAGAAACACTCAAAGGGTCTTCTACAGCCTTTCCCTTTGAGAATCGTGCCTGATTTTTACAACTTACAAGTTATGTCAGGGGTCGAGTATGAAAATAATGAAATCTGAGCTGGATTTGTATCCCGCTTGCTGAATCTACTGTAATGTTCTGCTGAGGTGCTCCTTAAGCTCTTCTGCTGATGATCCTGCAATTTTTATGTGAGTTTCCTTGGCATTATTCTGAATGCAGATCTCTCTTATAGTGAAGTAGCTTTGGGTTAGGCTTTTTCACCTCCATGTGAGCTTTTCATGGAGATTGGATATGGGCATAACGGAACTACAGGAGCACTAAACTTTGGGTAAAGTAAGTTTGAGAACTAGCTTCTATCAGATGTGAAATGGTAGAGACAGGAGCACAGGGGGAAGGGAAACACCTCAGTTCTTTCCCTTTATCATCCTTTCTTTGTATCATTTTAGTCATCCAGAAGAAAAAAATGTAACCTAGAGTATTAGGTTTCATCCTAATGTTACTAATTAAAAACTGAAGCTTCTGAACAAAATTTACACCCCCTGTGCCACAATTGGTTTTCCCAAACCAGTCAGAGCTCCGCAGACCTCGGTTGAGCTGAATGCTGGTGTCCTGTGAGGAGAGAGGAGCACTTGGCTCAGTCTCTGTGCTTTGCCTGCTGGGAAAACCCAGTTTAGTGCCCATGACAGAGTCTGACAGAGAACCAAGTGTGCACATTGAATGCCTGATAAATTCACAGCCTGGTACTGTTACTTAGGGTCTTGTTTCTTTGCCAGGTATTGTGCCATGGTGAGGATTCAGGAAAGCGGAGAAAGCCCTGTTTAGCTCAGCTAAGCCATGGCTACAGAAGCAAAATAGTTCACAGGAAGGAATTAAACACATTCAGCAAAATATGCTAGAATATCTAGCTCTTTGCCATCCAGAAAACAGATTCTATTCAGGAAATGTGAGTATTATATCAGCCTTTCCTCAGTTTTAACTTTAACATGTAGCTAATAATTTATGACTTCTAAGAGTAAAAACTTTCAAACACTCCTCCAGGGAATGTGCTGTACTCTTCATTTCCTTGACCTTCTAGGTTTTCATCATTATTTATAGATTACTGCAATGTATTAAAATAACTTTCTGAACAAGAAAAAAGGGGGAAACTTTCATTAGGAATAAAATCAGAGGGAGCATTTCTGTCAGCAGATGTGCTTAATTGTTCAAAATAACTGCAGAATACTGTTTAGGTATGTCTGAAATAAAAATATTGACCAGTACAAGATTTAAATAATTCTGCTATAATTTATGGACAGGATATACAGTACACCTAGTGAATTCTTGTGCAATTTACACCTAAAATAATGTACTGTTCCCTCCAATGAATTTGTGACTTAAATAATAAATCTGGTAACTGTAATTATTTTAGGAATACTAGTGACTAGATGCAAACTTCAGATTGCCAAAGACTGATAAAAAGCAAATTTCAGGAGCTCTTACAGTAGTTTGAAATAATAAAATTCTGAACCTATGAGACTAATGGGAGTTCATTACTGAAATAATAATGTGTCCATCTCATGTAATGCTCCTCTGCCAGAGGAACTGATGAAAGTCAAAGAGAGGAAACAGCTGGGGAGTAGCTGGGAGGTGCAAGGGCTGCAGTGAGAATTGAAACAGTCTGCAGAATCCCTGGGGAAATGAGGCTTGGGTCAAAGCAAAGGTCTGAGCCCCTCAGCGCTATTTCAACGTCATAGAAAATTTGCATTTGGTCCGTGATCAAAACTCGTTCGCTGTGTTTTGGTTCCAAGTCTGACCAGTATTTGGAAGGGTCCTGTACTGCATTTTTGGGTGATACTGTCACTCTGGTGTCCCCAGCTGGCTTGCAGAGCAGGATATCTACCAGCTTCCCCAGATACAGCACCGTGGTGGGGAATTTTGTGGGTCCTTTCACTATAGAGTTGTTGCTATATCAGAATAGCAATTAGAAGCTTAAAGAGAGATGTAATACATTGGTGAGGGCTGAACAACACGGTTTCCCCTGGGTAATGAATGCTGTTCCTCTGCTGCTTCTAGGATTTAGATTCAGAGAAAAAGCTTTAAACTAAGAGAAGCTGGATGCCAGGCACCTGAACTGCTCTTTTAATTGAGTCTGGTTATGAAATGATATGATCTTGGCAACAACAGTCTCTGCTAATTGTAACTGCTTGTTCTGAATTTGTTACTCAGTTGAGTTACACAGGAACTAAATGTTCCTCTCAACATATTTTTTTCCCTCCCTAGTAACACAATGAATCATAAAGGACATTTTCTGTGAAAGCTGGTGCAGCCCAGACCCAGCTATAGGGAAAGAATAAGTTAGAAACAGAAATAAATGTTATTGTCCCGATTCTACCGAATGTATAAGCACTTCACTGTTAAACACGGGTGAATTTTTATTTGTTTGTTTTATCTCCATGTTTCAGCACATTCTTATGTTGTGTTTTGGAAGAACTTACTCAAGCTTAAATACTTGAGTCAAGGTTTGGGTTGCTGTGGATTTGGATGTGCTTGTGTCACGGATGGAGTGAGTTCCATGGTTGTGATTTAGCAACAATTTGTCCACAACTCCACCTACATCACAGAACCTGTTGGACATCAAGCTGTCACAAGTACTTGGCCAGTAAAAACCCCAATATTTTTCCAGCTAACTGCATGGTTAGAACAATGTGGCTGGGCTAATTTTCTGTGGGACCATGAACTAACTCCTGAACTAGCAAGAAAACTGCTAATTAGGAAAAGCAAATCAGATGCACTACCAAATTGTTTGTATTTCCAAACACTGTGTCAGTGGCAAGAATAATCTTTTTAAAGATGTGGCTATTCTGCATCAGGGTACATGTTCTAGCAAGCAGCAACCACTGTCTTTGGCTCTGCCAGACCAGAGGGGCAGAAGTGGACTATGCTGGGTATTGTGGCAGTGTGCAATTGTTTTTCCTAAGAAACTGGAATTACTGTAAAGAAATGCAGATTATCCTAGAGAAATGGAGGTGGCGTCACCGTGCATAGGACCCTGGAGAGGCCTGGGTCATGGTCCAGATTGGGGTTGGATTTTGTCTCGTTTACCATCTGAGTAGTCCTACTGTAGAGAATGGTTTGCAAAAATTAAATGCTAGTTGCAAAAACTAAAAGATAAAAAAACCAGATGGATCTATGCCTAAGTCAGTAGAAATTCCATCCTTTGTGGCAGATATAAATGCCTGTCATCTAGCGTCTACTTGTTCCAATTGTGTTGGAACATCCCATCTCTAATCCTCTGCAGTTTGTCTGGTTTAAGTCACAGGGTCAATAGCAAGATTAAATCCAAGGGATTTATTTGAGTCACGTGATCCAAAAATGTGCCAACAACTGTGCTTTTCTGTACTTAAGCTGTGCAGTGCAGTGGGGATATGTCTTAAAAATGAAACTCCCAAATGGCTGCATGAAGTTGTGTAACTCTACAAGTGGCCGTGTGTGTATGTCCACATGGGAGACAGGTCACAACCCCTGGAAGTACCCGAAGGCTCCAAACTGCCCCATGCTGGGCAAGAACAGTGCCTGCTGAGCTTTGCTCCTTCACAAGGTCATGGGGACCTTGGTAGGATCTAAGACATGAAATACTGAAAGCTGCAAATCAGATTAACAAAATAATTTAGGCCTTGATTCATCTCAGTACTTAAAGATATGCCCAATACTCAGCATACCTAAGTTCTGCAGAGAGATGAAGTAAGGACCCATGAGCCGGGGCAGGCCCTCACACTCAGGTGTTTGTACAGCATGGCCTTCATGTCTTGGGATTGGTGTTTCACTTACTGCATTCACAGCATCTAAAAGGTTGAGCTGTGAAAGATCATCCAGACTATCCCATGAAGTAGCATTGTTGATGTCTGTGCAGTCCTGTTGCTTTCTTCTGGCTGTACTTGGATATCCCAAAAGGAGCATCTTCCATTTGCATTAGGAAATCATTCCCTCTGCCTCTCTACAATCATATTCACCTCATTCTTTACTATTTATAAGTTTGGATACTTCTGAGCTGTCATCAGTTTCAATAACTTTTTTTAATCTTCGTTTCAGAGAAGCCATCACCATTCAGTAAAAAAGATAACACCAACACTTTTTAATATCGTCAATAAGCTTGGGGTTTTTATTCCTTATTATTATTTTAAATAAGTATATGAAAAAGAAGTTTGAAAACTTTTCCTGGCTGGTATGAAATGTTTACTGTTTGCAGACTGCAACTGCATTTCAAGCAAATTCTCTTGCAAACACCATGTATTTTATACAATAGCAGTGCAATTTGTTATTCATAGATTGATCATCTGGCTACAGGCAAACTTTGAAAGCTTTCACATACAATGCTTTTATTTTACGCTTATTAGTAGCTTTAGATATGGTATTCAGATTAGTATTGAGGCTTCTTCCGTGTGCCCGGTGGATAAGCGTTGTATAAACAGCACCGCTGCGTAGCCCTGGAAGAATCCATTCTAATGCTTGGCTCAAGGTGGTAATTGCAAGAACATTAGAAACTCAAAGGCAAATAAAATAACAAGTGTATTTGTGCCAACAGAAGCTGTTTTGTTTGTTACTCGTTCAATATTAGGTATTCAGCAAGATACACGACTGGCAGAGACAAAGCTTATTCTTATTAGCCACAGCGAAGAATGAATTTTTATTATTGAATAAACTCTGACTTTTGACATTCTCAAAACCTCCAGCTCTGTAATGATGTGTTGGAGCTGGCTGCGATGGCTTGACTGCTTATTATACCTATGCTGGCAGAGAAAAATAGCGTTGTAACCTATGTTGTTGCTTTGCTTTGTGTATTGTGTTGACATACGTATGTGTGTATTTCTATTCCTGTTCTTGAGAAGGTTTTACAACCAGGCTTAGTTCCCTGTGTAAATGTATTTGATTGGTGATGCTTGATCCTCCAGGATCAGGCTGTCTGTCTCGTTGAAGGTGTCGCTTTCACCAGAGTGATTGGCATTTTTAACTCTGTTTAGCCGAGACTGCATTCGTTCATGTTCTTTTCTCAGCTCTGAGTAGGAATGGGAGAAAGTGTGGAATATCGATGTTGCAGGAAAAGACATGATGAGAATCCCACTGAGGATGCTGCTCAGAGCCACCATCTGGCCTGGGACGCTCCGTGGTACCATATCTCCATAGCCCACAGTGGTCATTGAAATGATAGCCCACCAGTAAGAAGCAGGTATGCTTGTAAATTCAAGCACCTTCCCAGATTCGTTCTCGGCGAGATAGACCAATGGAGAAAACAGAGTCACTGCCACGCATAAGAAGAGTAAAAGCAGGCCAAATTCCCGTGTGCATTTCCGAACTGTGAGGCCCAAGGTCTGCAAGCCCAAGGAGTGTCGGGCAAGGCGCATTACATACAAGATCCTCAAGGCACGTAAAACCCGTAGCACCAAACCAACCTTCTCCAAATATGTGTTGCTGCTTGGCCTGTCGTCCTCCTCGTTTGGGTTGTCCTCCGAGAAGATGAGAGAAACGTAATAGGGTGAAATAGCCAAGAAGTCAATGATGTTGAGGGGTCCTTTGAAGAACTGACACTTGCTCCTCGCCTGAATGAATCGGAGGCAGAACTCCAGGGAAAACCAAGCCACGCAGACGGTCTCTATGACAAAGATGTAATAGCACTTCTGGGAACACTCGCCCTGACATAAAACAAAGAGAGAATTAAAGAAAAGAACAGTCTGTGAACCAGCATCCAAAGACACTGAGGAAGAAGCAGTATGTATCTGCCTGAGTATCAGATCTCCTAATATCTGCTGCTACCAGAAATGAACAAATCCCAGGTAGCAAGTAGTTGCCTGGCAGACATCTTTCCATGGTGTATAGCCAATAATGAGAATGTGAAATATCTGAATGGACAGATATATCTACCTGCCTATTTTATTTTGCTTCTTTCATTCTAAATGAATGAAGCTCATCTCTGGACAAAGTCTTGGCATGCAGCCTGTAATTCCCAAACAAGTCACACTTTCTGCTCCCAAACAGAAACTAATTGGAACTTGACTGGTTTCTAAGCCTGTACAAAAATCAGTTTCTCTTCAAAAGAAAGATTAAAGTTCGAGTGTATCTGTAAACTTTTAGTGATTTTCAATATATGGGACTCTCACAGATGCTGTGTACTTTGGTCTAATCAAAAGTGATTCAGAGGTATTCATTAAGTCATCTGGATCCTTGCCTTGGTTAGGCCATTTATAAATCTTGTTTGCTTCAGTACATCCAAATGTTTTCATTTAAAGGAAAATATATACCTGCTCAGTAGGGGAAACTTGCCTTGAAGAATCCACTCCCAGTACTGAGGTCGCATGCTACAAGCAATCCTTTCTTGGTTTTGTTTTCCAAGGAGCTGCTTTAGTTGAATTACTTTGGATTCACATTTTTTTGTTTTCCTGAGATAAGCTTAAAAAATGAAATTTCTTTCAGCCTATTCCAGTGGAAAAAGAGGCAAATATAAAATAACTCAGTTATTTGGGTAAGCAAGAGACTACATTGAGCTTTGTTCTTTAGTGATGGGCAGCCATTAGGCTCCATCCATCCAGAGAGCGAGGTAAAAGGAGGACACTGGGTCCAGGGACTGTGGTGTACGTACGCACAGCCTCCTTCATGTGCACGGCGTCTGCTCACTGTGCTACAACTGACAGGAAACAAACCAGGTCCTGCCACCATTTTTTGCCTTACAGAAGATAAATAGCAGTGAAAGCAGCAGGTACTGCTTGGCAGCTGGGCACCTCTCCCTGAAGGAAATACATTGTTCTCAAACACTGGTATCACAGCTTTCTTACACATCTTATCTGTCCTATTGATAAATGCATTTCTGTACACAGAATTACGATGTTCTGAAGAAACCTGGTCTTGTGATTGGACTAATGCTGGTTTATTGCTTTTAAGCATTGTGAATAAGTCTATTGAAGAATGGCACCTAACAGGTACTTGGGGGATGATTTCACAGTGGTTTGCTGTGTTTACATCAAGTTCTTGCATCGGTGCAAGTATTTGGATCGCAGTTCTAACCCAAAACCAGTTCAAGTGAACTGGAGTCTTTCACGGGCTTTGGCTGACTTTGAAGCAGCCTTGCGTGCTTTTCTTCGCTGAGCACATTATCAAAACGCTGGCATATGAAAAAAAATGATTCAAAAGAACCACCTTTTGGGAGAGCAGAGTGCCCATGTGTTATTCAGGATTAACTGCAGAGCCTTGGTTTGGGAAAGGCTTTTTAGTAACCTCTGTAGAATGAAGTCAGAGCTGCTGTGTGCAGCTTTCTTGATAGCCCGTCTCTGTAATTAGGCAGTTTAAATGAACATCTCCTCATGAAGTGTTATACTTTCTCAGCCAGATTTCGTGAGCAATATTGATTAAAGACACCATGGGAAACGTGTACCCTTACTACTAATTAAACTTACTCCCAGTGTTCACTTACCCTCCCCATTGCAATGTGATGCTCGGTTTTTAGAGTGCTCCTTGTGGTAGAATTACTGTTCTTGGGAGTGATAGGTCTGTTTGTTCAGGCAGTATTTATATCATCGGCTAACTGAGGTTCCCCAGGTAAAACAGTAACGTATCTCTATGTATATATTTTACCCTGTCTAACCCTCAGAACAATTCAGCTCTGTAGCACTTTTTGGGCGTTTTTCCTCTTTCTGCACAGTTAGACTGCCAAGATCATAATTTCTCTTAAAATAAACATCGCAAAAGGCAATGAACACTCGGCCCTGCTCGAGTTACACGTCCAGGATCAGGTTATAGCCCCATCTGAAGCCATTGCCATGGCAGTGCCTGGAGTGCATTGATGTCTGCAGAGCTGCTGACTTGGCTTGATGAGATTGCTTGCAATCAGCAGTTGTGTTATGCGGTGCTCACTTTTTCTGAGTTGTAAATTATTTGTACCAGTGCCTGGACTCTGCGCAGACCCGCCTGTGGTCAATCTGGTGATGTGGCCTGTGAATTATTCATCGTTCCCATCAAAATTTATTTTATTTTTTGTTAACTGGGCTGAATTTCCAGTACATCTGTTACTTATTTACCTTTGTACATTTGCAGGTGATGCTGCTCTCAGATCATCCTGTAGCTTTCACTATTCCTTCCTTGGAAATTACAAGGCAAGATGTTTTGTTTGCTGGAAGTTTTAACCGTTAAGATCCAGGGCGTCTTTTGAATCGAGTGTGAAATTTCAAGGTCTAGCATTGCAAGGACTGGTTGAGAGACTTTTTTTTTTCTTCTTCTTCCCATCCTCTGTTGCCTCAGTATTCCCCATGGAAAGTTATATGTATTTAGGGAAAGCAATTTGTGCAATCAGCTCCCTAAATGTGTATTTCACTTTTCAGAAGAGCATCCTTCAAATTGAACTTTTCAGGAATGTTACTGTGCATTTTATTTTTCCTTTGTGCATAGTTGTGGATGTAAAGGATGGCGAGTTGTCCCCTGAACACACTTTGTCCTTTTTATGTGCATTGCAAGAAACATTTCCAAAATGTTTGTACATGATTCAAACCACAGTCCCTTTTTCTGCTGCATCAAACAAAAGAATGACAATATCACAATCTCTGATGCTGTGATTAATGCAGAGAATTCTGTGCTTCATTTATTTCAGAAGAGACAGAAAAGGAAGGATGTGTTTGCTTCAGACATGCCTATGCTATGTGAAGGCATGCAGCAAAACCTGTTCTGTCTCTCTTAGAGGGAACTGATTTCTCCATGCAGTTCTGTGTGGACGTGACTACCTCAAGCCCTAGAATTAACGTAGCTGGGCCACCATGTCACAGCAGGGCCATTTCACTCTGTTACGTCGTGTCGATGTCCCATGATTTAGCCACTCCTTATACAACTTCTAGAAACTCCCAAGACTCTTTCCTCTGCCTGTCTTTACTTCTCTGTCATCAGAGTCTGGAAAAGAGAGTGTAAGACCCTGGCTCTATGGGATTTAATGAGAACGTGCTCATTGATTTCACATTAGGAGGTAGATTTCATCCAGTGAGTTTGTATGTGAATGTTTTATATATTAGGAATATTCCCATACATCATGTAATCTGTGATATGGTTTATATAGAATATCAATGTCAGTCTCTTGGAAGATTCTTTATCATTTTGAACATCCTGTTCAAAACCAGAAATATTGGGTTAACGAGAGGGGAAAAAGAGGAAATATTAAGTACCAAAGCCATTTTTCTATTTCTCCCAGTGTTTCTGATTATTTCAGATCTCAGAGTGCTTTATGTTCCACTTAGGTTCCACTGTTTTGTCTGTCCAAAGAGCCAGCAGAAGAGCACACTGACTTCAAGTACTATGTTCTTACCAAAGTACGGATGGCTGTGTCAGTGGTAGATTTCAAATCTGCTGTTGTTGTAAGATTCCCATCAGATGTTAGTCACTGTCAGTGAACTGTCAAGCTATGACCAAATACTTTCACCCTTGAAAGAGGTTTTTTTGCATAAATGGCCAATAAATGACTTTCTGTGCCACAGCAGCTTCCATCTATGTCCTTTTTTTGATCAAAGCAAACACATTTGGCAAATTCTAGTGATCATTGCCTGCCAAGGCAAAATGCAATAAATAACTCCCTCTCTTGACCTTGCCATTAACTGGAGCAGAATCCTGAGCTTTTAATTTCAAATCTTTGTGTCAAATTTGTCACTGACTTCTTTCTCCTCCTGACTGCATTTTCACATCCAGAGTGCCATGGTTTACTAGAAGCTATAAAAGCTCCAAGCCAGTTTAGTGTTAACTGTCAACATAAGGGAAAGGTTTTATTTATAACTGACCACAGTGTGTTTGGGGTGGGCTTTTTCAGCAAAACTCTCTGACGTGTTTTACACTGCTGTAGCATCAATCAGTGTTTGACTCTGATGGGAGAACAGTTATCACAAAGCCAATGGTGAGTATCTAACTCTTTATACCTTATTCATCCAGCAGATTTACTTCTGAACAATGCAAGAATTAACCAGGATTTATGGAACTTGTCTCTAGCTGAAACGCTACAGCATATGATAGAAATGTAATAAAATGTGTGCCTGGTATTGCTTTTATGTATGAAAGGAGCATTTGGCTCAGCAATGAAGGAAATAGTATTTTCTATGTGAAAAGATATATACTGATCCTGATGCCTGAAATATTGAGTGATTCCTTAAATTTATGAACAACCTCAAAGAAGCAAAGTGGCTGTTTCCAACTTCTGCACTGCCACAGAAAATAGGTAATTCCTGCTTCCTTTTCATTATTGCCTTCCACTCCACAAGGCAATGGCTCATTTTCTGGGTTCTCTTATATGTTGGAACGCTTATAGTGTTACAGTAAAATGTCACATTTTAAGATACTTCTCTTAACTTCTCTGATATGAACAAATAAGCTCAAAATAAAACATAAGAATGGCAGTGCTGGGTCCAGTTAGCCCTGGCCCTTTTCCTTTCTGAGGTGGAAGGGACTGAGACTGCACTTTTAAAGTGTGGGTGAGCTGTAGGTTATACTGTCAAATTTGTACTCAGTTTATGATCAAGAATTCAATAAATCTTGCTCTTTCATTGTGCACTCTTTAAAAAAGTTTCAGAAAACTGGATCTATGTAGGGACACTGCTTAGAATGTGAAATTTCTACTAGTGAGACGTTGTGTGACTCTGGTAAGTGTTAGTGAGGATTCTTGGAGTACCTTTCTTCC